AATGAGCAAATGATATTGAGGGCTAAAGTAGAGGGCAAATGTTTTGAGATTGATGAGGGCAACAGGTGGACATATGTGCTTGACTCAATGGATGGATGTATGGACTGTGATAATAATTGTACGAGCCCTCAATAAAATAATTTTTAAAAAGTGTTTATGGAACATACACATTGTAAATTTGGAAGTAATGTTTATTGTGGTCTGAACGCATTAGAATCTGAAGGTCTATGCTTTTGCAAAAAGTTAGGCATCATAGAAATCCAGTTTTCTCAACTTACTGGGTTATTTATTTATTTATTTGAATAATACAATAAAGAAATAAGCTGTAGTGGGAAGAAACCAGAGCCCAGAACTCTGCGTCCAGTAATGTAGCTGCTGCACTTGTTACAGCTCTTGTTTTGTATTTGTCATGGCAGTGTCAATTTGAGCCTCACCACAGCACTATGCAGTGAGAGAGACTTGCATCTCCATTTTGTAGGAAGAGTAGGTCAAAAGTATTACTTGCCTAAGAAACACGGCCAGTACAACGAAGAACCGCGCGGAAACGGCCTCTCTTGCTCCCTTTGCCGTTGTGGAGTTCTTCAGGCCTTTCCTGTAGTTCTGCTAAAAGCCTTCGGTTTCCTCGTGACTCCTCACTGGCTCTGTGCGCCATGTTCAAAGAAACGACAGACAGCAGCCCGGCTGGCAGTTGCCAAAGCAGACGTGCGTCATCCAGGAAAGGAATTCAAGGCAGGTGTGGGAATCCGGTTTATGTTAACTAGACCTGAACACAAATGAATGAATATTAGCTTTAACTAACTTAATTTATATAGTTTGTACTTCTGAGATCTCTACACGTGTGAATAGAGTTTCTTTGGTATTTTGATTGCCTATGAGTGTACTTAGGTGTGTGTGGCAAAGTGATAAAGGCTGGGTAATGGGTGACGGGGGGAGGCTGTATTTATGTGCGTGATGTTGGACTGGTTGTATGAAACCTGGAGGAGATTTGTTGCTATGCTTAAGAGAGAGACAGAGCCCTAAGACTCTTTCTGTCAGAGAGAGACTGCCTGCCACATTCACTTGGATGGTTACAGCAGCAAGTGACTCGTCAGAAGCTTTTTTTGAGCCATTTTTCTTTATAGTTACCTTATATGGCAATTGAAATAGCCAAATGAAATGACTGAAGTACAAACCCTTGAAAAAACTATAAAAGGAATTTTTGAAGTGCAATTCAAAGTCTGTGTTCGGTGTGTCCACATTTGTGTTTTGGTCTGGCCTAAAATCCGATCTGTGCACAAGATTTCCGTTACTCCAAATTCACATAAAATGTCTCTATCATATATTTCAACTAGGTGCCAGATCGCATTTCTTTCAGGGTGTGTGTGTATGTGTGTTATTCCTTTAACATAATGAAATAAATATTTTCTAAAGGCAGGCTTCCCTGAGTGTCCTGTTTCAACCCTTCCCCTTTCCGACCCCCCATCGCACCACAAGGAATAATAGGCTCTGAACATATTTATAGCCCCTGTATATGTGAAATTCTGGTTTCTAGGTCAGCCAAGTTATTTTCACAAGAGACAATCCATGTTTATTATAAATCATTGCCTTTTAAATTTTAAGACATTTTATCATTTTCTGGGCTTACACTGAATAGAGTAATTCCAAACCCTAGTTTAAATTCTCAAATGTCATGCATTGGGATTTATGAGTTTCCTTTATTTCATATGAGTGCCAAGGTGCAGAACCACTTCAGTGATGTAAATGGTACTGTTTTGTCCAGTTGTACAGAGAGGTTGAGCTGCTATTTCATCACTGTCAAAAGACAGCACAGTGATTGTACTTCAGTAAAGCCCTTGAAGGCAGGGTATGTCATTCAATCACACAGTGTAAACTTACACCTGCAAGTGCAGAGTTGACATTGCATTCCTGAAGATTCCCCAAAGGAAGCCCCAGGAAGCTACAGAGATACAAAGGAGTGTGTTGTGTTGTTGGAGAAAAAGTTTAAATTAATAAAAATGGCATTATACTTTATTATACTTGATTGTGACAAAGCGAATTGTTCCAACTTTTAAAGTGATAGCTTGCTCCTGTCATAAGCATTGCCGACAGTATACTCCATGTGTCTTTGAATAATGTTGTAGATAGTAAAACCTACGGAGGCTCGGTAAGATGGGACGCTGTCAGAGAAGGAAAGGTCAAATATTTTCCACTGAAACAAGTGCTAGAGAAGTGGTAAGACTCACCCTGTCAAAGATGAAAATCTTGCAAGTCCCAGAAAAGCAAGGCAGTCCCCTGGAGTACAGGCTGTCACACATTTCCCTGTCCCACTGCATACAGACTACACAAACACAACTAGCGAGCAGACTGAGGTTGTCTTTCCTTCCTGTAGTTTCGATATGTTGCCCTCCATTCCTTCCCCGTATTCCACAGACGTTCAGTCCTCCATAGCGCTTAATGTCTCCACGTCTGTTCATCTCATTATGTTGCTACGTTTCTGAGGTAACCCAAAATATTTTAGTCACTTTTTGGATAAAGTGGGCTTTGTTAGTAAAAATTTCCAAGTCTGGGCTGATTTTGATGTTACCTTCTCACTTTATGTTAAAAATAAAGTCTGGTGATATAAGTGGTGCACTTCCCAGAATGCATCTGAGGGACTAAAAAAAGCATCCTGGGTTTACAGGGTGAGTTCTCTGTGTCAAGAGACGAGCCCTGTTCTGTGGATTCACGAACCGTTTCTTCTGTAAACAGGCAGGAGCCAGGTGTTCGTGCCGAGGGTGCCATGAGTCTCGGGAGCATAAATGGGGCAGGAGTCTCAGAGACAACTCTGGGTGTTCTGGGCCTGACATTGTAGCTTCTTTAGGATGTAGCCTCAATTAGATAACATAAAAGTCAACTTTTACTCTTATTAAAGGCCATTAGGCTGCCCATCTCAGAGTTTTAGGAAGACGTGTCAAATGTAAGTTTATCAAAGAAAGAAAAAAAAACCTTTTTACCTTTCTGAAAATTGGTGCATTTAGTACTGTCAGACTAAACGTGAAGGCGTTAGTAGATTAAAGATAGAAAGAGATGAGTATTTTAAATACCAAGTACTTTTAACCCCTCTCTATAAGAACCAAGACTTAACGGTCATTTCATGTGTTGAAATTTTATTCTGTCTTATATTGCTTTGGGGTATACCTGAAAACATTAAGAATAGGGACTGTCAGGGAGGAGATGAGCCAGACAGGGTGCGATGTAGCAATGATGAAAAATACAACTTTCCTCTAGTTGCTAAATGCTTCCTCCCCACGCCACCCCCCACCCCCACTATCATGATCCGAATTCTACCTTGCAAGTCTGGTAGACCAGAGGGTGTGCACTGGTACAGATAGGAACTGAAAATACAGGGAATCCAGGGCAGATGATTCCTACAGGACCAGTGGTGTGAGTGGCGAAACAGGGAGGGTAGAGGGAGAGTGGGTTGGAAAGAGGGAACCGATTACAAAAAACTATATGTGACCTCCTCCCTGGGGGACGGACAACAGAAAAGTGGGTGAAAGGAGACGTCGGACAGGGCAAGATATGACAAAATAATACTTTATAAAATATCAAGGGTTCATGAGGGAGGGGGAGGGGGGAGGGAGGGGAAAAATTAGGAGCTGATGCCAGGGGCTTAAGTGGAGAGCAAATGTTTTGAGGATGATGAGGGCAATGAATGTGCAAATGCGCTTGACACAATTGATGTATGTATGGATTGTGATAAGAGTTGTATGAGCCCCTAATAAAACGATTAAAAAATAAAATTGGGATTAAAGACAATGTATCTTGCATTTTAGAAAGAATGATAATTCTAAGATACCTGAGAGAAATCATTATCTTTGTGTCTTACCCTGTGGTTAAGAAGAAATGTTCAGACCTTTCTTATTTTGTTTGGCAGGGTTGTTACAAGTTGAGTTGAAATCAAGAAAAACTTGCTTTTGGCGTCATCAAAAAGGAAAACCAGAGACCTTCCTTTCCACCATCGAAGCCATTTACTATTTTCTCGTAGATTACCACACCGATCTCTTAGAAGAGAAATACAGAGGACAATATGATAATCTATTATTCTTCTATTCTTTCATGTACCAGTTGATAAAGAAGGCCAAGTGTTCTGGGGACAAGCAAACCAGAAAACTTCTCCATTAATTTTTTAAAAGACTCTCCTCATTTTATTTTTCTAAAGTTTATCAATGTATAATTGTGCTTTGCTTATTTTTAGCAGTGATCGTGTCTCATATCTGCAAGACCCCTTAGAAAAAATCCTAGTTTCATTCATTTTAGTTCATATTCTTTAAAAAGGAGTCCTAAGGCCATTTTTTCAGAGCTAGCTTTGACTGTAAAACTAACTCAGAAAAAAATCCTAGTTTCATTCATTTTATTTCATATTCTTCAAAAAGGAGTCCTAAGGCCATTTTATCAGAGCTAGCCTTGACTGTAAAACTAACTCCAGAATTATATGCTCAAATTCACAATATCATGCTTTCATTACTATAATTTATGTCCATGTAATCCTCTACATTTGTTGGGGAGATCTTCCTATCTTTCACCACTTTTGAAAAAAGATGGGATCAGAATTTTCTTGCTGAAAAAAAAATGTTTTTTTCTTTTTCAAGTGAGTGGAAAATAGGGGCACAACTAGAACTGCAGCTCCCAGCCCTAGGATTATTTTTGTAAAATACATACTATCTGTGAAAGACATGGGCTGGTTTTCACTTCTGTTTGACTGTGCAAAGGGGAAGGACTTGCTATCAATCATGTGGTCCTGCCAAGAGATGGATATCTGATCTGATTTAGCAAGCTAAATGTTTCCCTCCACTAAACACAGTGATTGATCCAGAGCAGAGCACCTGGCCCGACAGCACCCTCCTTTTGGATCATTGACATGGATGCTCTAAGCAATAAAAGGCAGCTATGGTGTTTGTGAGCACAGACTCTTGAGCTAGACTACCTGTGTCTAAATTCCACCTTGGCCTTGTCCACTCTATCAGCTAAATGACAATGCCTTCATAGTATCTGAAGAGTGGGTAGTACAAGGGCTACCCCATAGGAGTATTATTAGGATGAACAGAGTTGATATATCCTAAAGCCCGGCCACAACATTTGGCATGTCGTAAGTGCTATACAAGGTTAGCCCCAAAGCATAGTTACTAGGGCTCCAGTTCACACATGCCTGGGCTTACTCCAAAGAAAATGTCTCTGGAAATACCGAATGACTGCGCACGCTCTCTCAATAATGCGCTTGTCTTCATCTCACTAAGGCGCCTTCCTTCCAGAAGCAACCCAGTCAAAACAAAGGCTCCCTAGGACATCTGCTAGCGCAGTGAGATTCAAGGGAGAGAGGTCAGATCAGAAGGTTCAGGCCACTTTGGGGGGATTCCCAGGGAGCCCTGGTGTTGTAGTAGATCAGCAGTTCAAACTCACCAGCTGTTCCACAGGAGAAAGGTGAGGCTTTCTGTACCTGTAAAGATTCACAGCCTTGGGAACCCCAAAGGGCAGCTCTCCCCTATCCTGTATGGTTAGAAGAATGAGTCAGAATTGAGTCAGTGGCAGAAAGTGAAGAGGTCATGATAATTTTTTTTTTAAGGACACAGCAAAATCATGGTAGTGGCTATGAAGAAATTTTAAGAAAATTGTAAATTACACGGATGAGAAAAAGGCCAGGGAAGTGGTGCTAAGGATATCTTCCATTCTTCCACAGGGCGGCAAGGTCTGGCCTATCAGGATTTCATTGGGAAAACTCACCACACCCAACCTATAGACTGGATCTTGCCCCTTCAAACTTCTCTTCCCCAAACTCACCATTGAAAGAGAATTTTAATCGCCCAGGAAGCCCAAACTACATTTGGATGGGATGTACACGGAAGAGCTCAGAGCTCTCTAGGGGAGGGGTTAGGGAGCTGAAAGCCCCCATCCGTCAGACGTATATAGACTTAGATGGAGGATATGCGGAGAAACAATGGTTTTCCATGTTGATATCTTTGTTTACTACAATTTCCTCTGTTTTGTAACATTTTTGACATTCTTATATATGCACCTTTTATGTTTTTATTTGCAATTGTCAACTAAGGATGAGAAAATGCTACAGTTGCTCATTAGCAATCTTGCTGCCAGGTGATGAGAGCCTGTTAGAGTTTGGCCAGCAAAGGATAGAAAGCGTCAAGTGGTATAGATAGGACTAACCTTACCACATCGTTTAATCACCTCGATCTTGCTGCACACAACTGGAGGCCTGTGCTGGTTAGCTCTGTTCACCCCTCTTGTTAAAACCCTCCACTCTTCCCTTCTGCTCTTGTTTTTTCTGTTCTGTGAGTTGGGGCGCTGTGATCACTGACTCCTGGTTGGAATTAAGAATTGGGAAGAACCAGCAAGAGATGGGATTGATGGAAAAACGAAATCGTGGCATTTCTTTTTCTGACTCCTTCCAGGTCACCAGGGGCTGATTGTGTCCCTCTGTTGTCCATCCTGTCAGGCATCGGCTTCCAAACAGTTAACCCATTTATTCTGTCTGGGTTCAGGTCCCTGCAGGCATCTCTGTCCAAGCAGTTATCCCAATTGCTAGTCCTTGCACCCTCCTTTCACCTGCTTTGACTTCGCTAAGAGAATGATACCCAGCTGGAAGAGCCCCTAGGGACTTTAGTGCCTTTCTTGGTTTCCTTGAATATGACCCACACCTTTGAAAATAGTTTACTACGCTTTTCTTAAATGTTCTGACTGGAAGTGCGTTCTTTCTGGGACCCGAACTGCTAAACTTAGCCCATTTCATGCTAGAAACGACAGTGCATTTTTCAAAATATATACACTGGGCCACATGAGAAAATGAGTTTTCATTACATGTTGGATTCTCTTGGTGATTCAAAAGCGATAGCATTATCAAGATTCTGAAAAGTCTTGAAATAAGAATTTAGAACCTTAAACTAGTATTTCTTGAACTTACTTGGATATGTAACAACTAATAAATGCCTATGGAAAAATGCACATTTGGGAATATTTTAATTTAGAGCACCCTTCTACCTCTCTAGGTGTTATAGCTAAAGCCTAAAGAGGATAAGTAACATAGCCATAGGTGACACAACTTATTGCTGGACCAATATTGTTAGAATCTGGGAATAATGATTTGATTCAGTAGGGTCACCATTATACTATGCTATTCATAAAAAGGAATGTGGATTATATAAGGTTTGAACAATATAAGCCCCCATAATCTTAGCCAAATGCACTAGCTTGTCTATTTAGCAATTATTTTACAAGAATGGAATTAAAATGGATTTCTTCATGTTTGGAACTTGGCCCTGTGAACAGAGGACGGTCTGATTGATTTAAACAGGGCCAAAGTTAGATTTCTCTGGGCTAAATTTGGACTTCTCTGAGCCAAATCCCGTTGCCATTTAACTGGCTCTACAAGATAACTGAACATAACTGTTATAAGAGGAAAAATAATAAGAGAAGCAGAGAACAATATTATCACTATTTGCTCCATCTCAGAGCTGGCATAAGAAAGATGACCCACATAGATCATAAAAGCCTAATTTACAACTAAGGCAAGATAAAATCTGAAGTTCTTCAGAAAAGAAGATGATAATACCTGCTAGGACAATGAGTTGGCTGTACTTGTCTTGTTTTTCTTTGGTATGATAGACTGAAAAATGGCTCTCTTTTTGCCCCTCCTTGAATTCATGGTCCTTTTTCATGTTCCTTTGAAGTACCCTCTCTGATTCTGGGCCAAATGCCTTTCTAAAGATCTAGTGTATTTCCACATACACTTCAGTCTGCTCTCTCCATGAGAACATATCGGCCTGCTGGTGGGTGAGACATGCCTGCAGCCGATCCAGATTCTTCTGGTCCCCATAGCCAAATCCAGACCTCTGTTTTAGGGAGTGATCAATCGTGAGAAATGTGGCCTCTGTGGTAGAAGTAAAGTTGGGGGTCACAAGATAGAACTTTTAAGGCCAACCACTTGTCCACTGAAAATATTCTTTCAACAATGTAAATGACTTTTATACATACTGACCTTGCCATATGGAATACACAGGAGTTGAACTGACTACACCTATAGAAAGAGATATTGTCAGTCAAACAAGGCTGGCTGTGGAAAAAACATCAGTTGAGGTGGAAGCTGAAGAAAATTAAACACATGAGAGTCAAAATAAGACCTTTAGTAGGTACCTGTGTAGTCACATCACGCATCTATGGAAAGTCTGGATGAAAAACTTCCTCTAAAATTTAGAGTAAAAATATAATCCCTATGATATGATGACCACCAAGATAGTATCGTGGAAAAATATGCAAAAGAATAAAAATGGTTCATTAGGGGAAAAAATAAAGCACAAAACTAAGCAGTATTGCAGGAAATGAAAGATGATTTTATATATATATATGCCACATGGAAGGCAAATAGCAAAATATTAGAAGTATATTTTCATCAGATTAAACTCACCATTGCTTCTTGGCCTTTTAGCTAAGATCAAGTATAGTAAACTTGCCAAAAGTTGGAGATTAAAAAAATTTTTGAAGAGATTGACAGAATGGATAAAAACTGACCAGATTATATGTCAATAAGAGACCAATTTCAAACCAAAAGACAGGCTGAAGGTAAAAGGATGGGGAAAAAATGTTCTATGTAAGTAGTCAAAAGAGAACAGGGGTGGTTATATTAATATCAGACAAAATAGACAAGTCAAAATAGAGAAAAGGGACATGATCTACTGATAAAATGGTCAACTCATCAAGAAGATATAATAACTAAGATATAAGATCTAACAAGAGAGCGCCCAAGTGCACATATATCATTATCCCACATAGACTAACCACACACACACACACACACTCACATGGTCACAAAACAAATCTACATATAGTTTTAAAACCTTACGTACTATCTTCTCCAATAATGGATGAAACTTGAAATCATTTGCACAAGAAAAACTGAATTTTACAAATATGTAAAAATTTTAAAATTTAAACCATACAATATTATTAACCAAGAAATCAGAAGGGGAATAAGAAAATACTTAGAAATGAATGAAAACAAAAGTACAAGATCCTGAACCTTATGGGATGCAATACAAACAGGGGTCAGAGGGCAATTTAAAGTAATAAACACCTGTGTTAAAAAAGGAGCAAGACCGCAGGTCTGTGTAAACAAGATGGGCTGGATGTACAATCTGGAGGAGAAAACAACGGGACCGACAGTTCCAGGAGGACATCGGAGAGGGGGAGGTCGGGGGAAAGGTAGTGGTGTTAACAAACCCAGGGACAAGGGAACAACAAGTGATCCAAATCAGTGGTGAGGACGGTGTGGAAGGCCTGGTAGGGCATG